GCATTTCGATTGATGGGCCGTGAATTTTTCATGTCTATTGCTGAGTTTAATGTGGCTATGGGATTTGTTTTGCAATCGGAATCTCTATCCGATAGGTTTTTGCATACCGAACATGACTTTAGCCTAAATTTTCACTCGTCGGCCTTAAGGAGTGTTTGGTTTGTTGATGCTAAACTATATCGACCTAGCCACTCTAAAGGATCCTATTTGCATAAGCCTATGCTCGCGTATCCTCCATAGGTTCTTAGCATATAATTTCTCGAGTTGGAGGGATAGTGCTGACACCTTAACTAACACTCGAATTTTTCTTCTTGTGGTGTTTAGAACGGAATGTCATGGTTAATTTAGGGTATTGGCTACTTCACTAGTTACATTTTATTGTCCATAAAAATTTTAAACCATTGATCTTAGGGTCATATATTACACAGTTGGTCGTCAATTTAGGGGTCCTCAATTGATCGATAATGATTTGAGTATTGCTTGTCCTATGAAATCCTTTGATCTTCCTTATTTAGACGGGATGAGCCTTCTCACTCTCGACGATAATGGCACCTATGTGTTTGCACCATTGGGACCTAACATCCCTTCCTCCTCACGACGTTCCTCTAGGAGGTAGAACCTCGCTCTCTATGCCATGACGACTAGCGGTAGCCAACTGTCCCAAGCAAGATGCTCTAGCAATCGGCGACCACTTTTCCTCATGCTCCCGCTCCCGCTGATCCTCTCACTTTGATCGTCATCTCCAGGTGTATGGAGCATAATCTCATGGCTTACTTTGTCACTCGGGGGTTCACCCCCTCATTTCCCCCTACCCCATAGTGGTCCCACACTCGGAGAAGTTTTATTTCCCTTTCTTTTTATTTTTTTTCATTGTTTCATTTATTTTTTTTGTTGACTCTAAGTGCACCTCGATTTATTTTGGTTTGCTTATGTTGTTGATTTATTGTTGTTGCATGGAGTCCACATTGAGGACAATGTGTTGCCTAAATGTGGGGGAGGATTTTGTCTTACATTTGTGTATGCTTGTCGTTATGAATTTTTTCTCATTTATGATCATGCTAACCTTAATTTTGCTATAATTTTCCTAGTTAAACTCATTTTAAAATCTTTAATTCTGTTGAAACTTGTCTTGAAATGGATTGGAATTATTTGAATAATTGAGTTGGATAAAAATGAGATAGGAATGGGCATGAACATATGGACACTCTTGCTTAATATTTTTATGTATAACAACCCCCCAATAATCGGTTTAAATGAGAAATGTGTAGATTTCACACAAAACATACATATGTGAGCTTTTGAGCCTTTGAGCATGCATCTATATAAGCTCTATTTATTTCTTGATTGTGTGTCTATCTTTGTAAGTTGAATCGTTCTAGAACTTGCCTTGCTATACATTTTAAGACTACACCTTTGGATTAAATGCATTAAGGTGATAAGAGCACCTAGGATTAGCCAATTTTAAACCTCTTAAAAGCCTACCCCGATTTTCACCCCTAGGAACCAAGTTTGAACCATAGCCTTTTCTTGATTGAATAACCATAATATAAACCAATCAACCCCTTTATTTGATACATAACCCCCGTTTGAAACTTAAGTCAAGAATTTTACATATGTCTAATTAAGTGAGATTCCGATTTTGTTGAAAAAATTACAAAAAATGGTTCGTCGCCACGATTATTAAAGTTCAATAGTGCACATGTTCTGCTATGCCAAGTTTGTTTAATTCAAGTAAAAAAAAAAACAACGAGAAAGAAAAAGAAGTAAAGAAGATAAAAAGAAAAAATGAAAAAAAAATAAATAAAAAGGTACGTTTGTCGAGAAAGAAAAAGGAAGAAAGAATTAAAAAAATAATGAAAGAAACAAATTGAGATTAGCAACGTAGGAAAAACAAAAGTGAGCATGTATTGCTTGAGGAATCAAATTTTAAAGGTGAAATTTGTGTAGGATTCTTGACTTGTTTAGACTAAATCAACCTCCATCAAACCCTACCTATAACCCCATTTCACCCTATCATAAGACCTTTTGATTTTTGCATTTGATTCAATAATTGTTAGTGAAGACATGATATCTTTGCAAGCTTACGGTAAGGATTTTTACGTGCATTGACTTGAGAATTGACAAATACATTCACCACTAAACACTATGAGCGCTTTTGAGTGAATTCTTGGTAAGGGTGATGAATTCGATTGCATTTCTAGTTTAAACTGACGATTGAGGGTTCGTTATGCATGATTGTGAAAAATATGGAGTTTCTTTCGCAATTGCCTTGTTTTTGTCATGTTTTTAGTTTAACTCTTTGAAGATTTGTGTTCGATGTATGGACGGATCGGTTGATACGGAATGAGGGGTTCGAAAGGGTTGGTTTGATGAGTCCGGATTATTGCATGCTTGAGGGCAAGCATGAGCTAAGTGTGGGGGATTTGATGATGCTCAAAATACATATGTTTAGATCGCTTAATTCCCCTGTATTTTACTTGTTTGAGATGTCCAAATGATAAACCTTAACTCGCTTTTATATTCTATGTGCCGGGATGTGGAACCGATCGACAAATGACGTTAAAAGAATCATATAAAGAGAATTTATGATCGAACCAATTCAGCCATCTGGAAAGCACGAAAGGCATGGGCACGTAAGAATCATAGCGTGGGCATGCGGATGTAGCAGACATAGACGCATAAGGACATGAAGGCATGGGCACACCGAAATCCGTAGAAACGGACAACGGACTTCAACTAGAAAACAAAATTTGTTACGAATTGCCGAAAAAAGATGCCGACCTACCAAAAGAGGAGCGAATATTTTGTACCCTTTTTGAGAAATAGACAACCCCTATAAACGGGAACATAGCAGACTAAGGCGGACATTTTTTATTCATTCATTTATTCTTCATAGTATAGGCGGCTTTATTTTCTCTCTCTCATACTATGACGAGCTGCTATGAGCGACTAATTCCTTTGCCTTAGTGAAGGTAACTGAAGCTTTTGGAAACCAAAGATTTTGAGGTGCTTGAACATTAATGCAAATCGGTTTGTTTAATTCAAGTATTGAACTTTCTTCTATACTTATTTTCATGATTTTTTGGGTTGATTTCTAATGTGCGCACTTAGTTTATGGATCGAAATAATCTATAGCTAGATTAAATATTGAATTCGTAATTGTTCAATCCCTTTAATTCGTGTAGCAACTAGGAGTGTATGGTTTGTTGCGTCAAAAACTAATGACTCTTAGGAAGATTATTTAACTAGATTAAATGCAACTACACGTGTTGTGTTGTCTTGCTTTGTTGATCTTTCTAATACATAAAGCCATTATTTGATTAAATCTTAAATCGTATATAGGGTTGTTAAATAATGAGGGTTGATTAGAATACATGTTTCTAGTTGGCTAATTGTAAGGAAAGATTGATTTTAATATCACAACAAATATTTGAATGAGAATCGATATTTCTTGCACCAAGAACAAATCTTGAGTTCCAAAAGTGGATGTGACATAAACCAAGGTTTGTTTACTTGAACATTTATTTTAAACTTATTCTATGAATTTAATTTGTTTAGTTTCGGTTATATCTCAATCAAATCAAAAACTCCCCTTTTTATTTATTTCATATTTCTTCTAGACTTGTGATGACTAACGTGATTGAATTCCTTGTGGGATCGATCCCTACTCTCCGTTACTATATTTGTGTTAAAGGAGTTTAGGAGTTAATTTGGATTGCACACGACAACACTTACCATATGTGTTGGGTTTTTATCTCTTAGGTTTTAGTAATTAAATTTCAAATTGATTTTAATGTTGAATATTGCTTAAATAATAGATAGTTAAATTAGATAATTAATGGATAGACGAACTCCTAATTTTTAGGGATTGATGATGATTCTCCACCAATTTTGAAAATATATTAAAAAAATTGAAAATGAAAAGAAAAATGATAAAAAAAAGAGACATAAAAAAAAATACAAGAAAAAAAAAGAACAAAAAATAAGAAAATGCTAGATTAACAAGTCTCCTATCTAATAGGGATCGATGTACCAAAGAGCTTGTAGCCCAATGGTAATGGTCTCTTGCAAGAGATAACGAGATTCAAATCTTAACGGACTAGTTATACTAGGAGCCTTGGTTGTGTGAGTTAAAAAAAAAAAAAAAGACTAATGTTATTGATTAATTCAAACACATCACTTTACTAATTAGGATATCCTCCGACATACCGATTACGTTGAGATTTAAACCATATACAATGTTGAATTAACAAAACTCCTAATGATAAAGTCCAACCATCGATTTAATATCTTGTCACAAATAAAAATAATAATAATAATTTGACTTAGGTAATAAATTTGGAATTTTAACTTGAGAAATAATTTGGCAAAAAAAGAAATTTTTAGGAAATAAATTTTTAGAATTAAACAAGATGTGATACCTTTTTTCGAAAATAGTGTTTTTGAGTAATTAATATCTTTCTAAAAGTATAACTAACTTCTTATTTTAAAATCTCCGAATAAGTGCTAATTTTAGATTTTTTAATTTTTTAATACCAAGTGACGATTTTAAAATAAATAATAGCTCACATCTCCAATAAAAAAAAAACAAATAATTTTTAATTTGAGTTTTTTAGAAGTTTCCTACATGTCAGTCAATGACAACATAAATGATTTTTATTTTATTTTGAGAATTTTATTAAATTTTCGCTTCCCATGGTAATTAAATTTCTGCCTCCGCCACAGTACGAAATTCCTAAAATGAAAACTACGAGGGGTGTGTACAGATGGCTAGAACCAGGTCAACTTCCTTTTTTGCTAACCTAGAAAAAGAAAAAAAATATTGGAAAATTTATGTGGGAAAGAAGCCACAGAAATGAAAATTCAGTTTGCATTTTTCGCACATTTAAGGAGCTTAATTATCATTATTAGAATCTACGAATAAGAATTAATACAGACATTGTTTCATTAAATCTAGGAGGGATGTCATTTCTACAACATGTTAATCACCAATTAACAGCTCAACTAGGCACTGTCTCATCTCTTGAAACCATGCCATTGAGCTCATTACAGTGAACATCGATCTGAAATCATACTGCTGTGGTGAAAATCTAAAACATTGGATTTTCCGACGACAAACCGATATCTAAAATAAACGGATGTACAATAAAATACAATAAAACTGATCATGTCCCTGCTTGCCAAGCCAAGCAAGGCTCCACGGCTCATGATAAGGATATTGAAACTCCTCGTCGGGTTAGGCATCTAGAAAGAAATTCATACCCAGCATGGCTTCTCTGTTAAGTCCTTCGAAAACACGTACCTAAACCTTGAACTGTAAGGTAACCACTCTACAACGTGACATGCCTTTTTGTTTGATTTATGATCGATGCATTTCATTATTGAATCGTGGAGCTTCCTGTCAACATTTTCAGCGACCCACTTGAGAAGATCATCCAAGTTGATTGAAGCTTCCTTAGCAAACCTTTCCAGCACTTTGGGTAAGAACACTTTTTTTGACTTCTTCACAACGACGTTCGCTTGAAGAAACTCTCTTTTTGCAGCTTCTAGTTCCTCTTTAACATTTGATGCCGTGTAGACTTTTAGCTACAAAACGTGACAAGCAAGAAGTCCAATCACTTACTATAATATATTGATTGGCAGAAAATGTGTTTTGCTAGAATATGCTTATGAATTCAAATCTTAGAAATGTCCATTGGTTGGGTAGATGCTAAGAAATTGAAGAGACAAGTTGATTTAGGGTAGAAACTGGGTTTAAATAAAAACCATGCTTTTCTGTAAATAGATGTTTCAGTGGACAACATAGGTCCGAGCATTATATTCACCTTTACTTTCTTCAACAGTCAAAATTCGTTATAGGGTATTTGAGTATGATTTTCTAACAGATGCAGTCAGCCATGCTATATAGCACCATTAGGTAGAGCAGCATGGATATATAGACATTAGACAAAATGACCAGGAAAAAAAAAAGATGTAGTAGAAGAAATATTTGTGATACCATGAAATAAGCAGTTTGAATAGACCAATTTTAAAGCAGCATGTTGATTCCAATCTTGTAATTTATCCATTGCAAAATACTTGTAATCTAGCATGAATGAACTGGCCATACATTTAAGTGGATCGACTTTTACCCTAATAGCAGAGTTGCGCTGTAACTTCTATGTGGTTCTACTTTCTTTTTCCATATAAAAGAAAAGAGTAAAGCATGTGAGAACTTACCGCAGGATCAGAAAAAGCTCCAGTGCAGAGGGCAAGGCAGACTGGGGCTTGGGAATCTGAGAGACCAAATTTGGAACTAATAAGTTGCCTTTCTTCACCAGATTTTTTCCGCAAGGCAGTGGAAAGAATGGTCTCAAGCCACTGTAATTGATACAAATGCAGATACGAGAACCATGTTTAGGGGAATTTCATTCCACCAAAGAAGAGATATTTGAGAAAATTAAGATATCAATGCCACCATTATTGATGAAAAAAATAGGGATGTATGGATAATGAACCTAATAAAACTATCTCAAGGACCTATTAAATCAGAAGTGACTGATGGATTCTCAAGGCTTCCAAGAGGTAATAAGAAACTTCACTCTAATTGATCCAGTGCAGTAACCTAAAAAGGTATGACTTTCCAATAAGACAAAAAAGTGCAGCTGACTCTTACAATAAAGTGCAAACAGGTCTCTTGGCACAACAGTCTGCTAGAGCCGTTGGCATTCAAACAATGAACTGCAATCACCTTGCAGCCCTTCTAAAGAAAGAGAAGACTCGGTGGAAAAAGAATCAAGTCTAATCATAGTTTTAAATAACGATTATTACATTATATAGCGGCCGTTATGTAACGGTTTCAGAGCATGTCGTTATCGATATTTTAGTATTATAATAAGTCGCAATACGCGATGAGGATTGCGATCGATTTTTCAACCGTCCAAGATTTAAAACTATGAGTCTAATGCAATATCGAAATGCAACTGCACATATTAAGAGGTTCTTTTGGTAACGACTATGATGTCTTCATACAGCAGAGAGAAAACCAACAGAATTCCAGGTAAGAATTCTAAAACAATAGAAACAGTGAACCAAGGAACAGAAGGAAAGAGCTCACGGGCTTAATTATATTCAGTTATTGACAACCTAATCCACAGATTGCTACATGATGAAAGCGAAGTGCATACCCTTCCAACTCGGGGTGTACGGAAGCAAAATATCGACTGCTCTATGGCATTTGCACTTATGATATGGCCACCAATGTTGTAAGCAGCCTGCACTATACAGAAAAGCCCATCAATTTTCATTCCCTATAAAAAGCATACAACAATTACAGAAGAAGAAAAGAAGAAATGGGAGGGAGCCACAGAAACCAAGTAAAACCACTCAATAGTTTCTCTCCATGTCTTAAAGTAGAACTTCGGCACATTGGTCCTACTTCTAACTCCAGCAGGTTTTGATTAAATGGACATGGTTTGCTATTTGATCCCTACGCACCCACATCTCGACAATGGAAGCAAGAACACTATCTACCAAAGAAATTTATATGTAATGGAAATTCATGGACATTTTTTTGTTGCTTCTGCCGCTAATGGTGATCATCCGCTGGAATTTGCTTCAAGGATTTCTTTGAGCAAACCACTAGCATAATCAGAAACAAGATTGTGTGACAGACTTCTTTATGAAGTGCAGTTTCCCATGCTTAAGCTGCTGATGCATGGTCGACCATGCTCTCATACCATATTAAAGCATCAACTCATCTAAAAACTTAAGCTGATAGGTGAGGTCCCAGAATATAATTTATATTAGTCTCTAACAATTTCCATCAATGGCCAGTTATATTTGGACATAAAACAAAGAAGTGCACTACCTTGTGAAACAAGGCTAACCTCCTCAGAGAGCCATGGGGGATTCCATATGCTAAATATGCCTGGGCAAGACAAAAGAACCTCTTACATAAAGTAATAATTATAATTAGATATGTAATACAGAACAAACAACCAGTCATCTGATTACTTACATGCATAACAAGCGAATTATACACATTGATCCAAAATGCAGTTTTGGCACTGTTATCCATCTGAGTCACCGTCACCCTTTCCAGTTGCTCCACTAGAACTCTGAAATTGGGAAGATGAAAAGCATGTTATGGAAGCATAACGAAATGTGTTGGGGGGGAATGAAATAAGAGGATATTCATGCACACGCACTCAGGCAGACTTCTGTACGTACTAGGATGTCCCTACATGTAACAAATTGCTATTTATAAGGCAAAAGGTTGAAGAATTGACCCGCTTCTAATCCAAAAGGTTTGGCAGTGCACACCATATTAGATTTATGAGATTGTCCATGAAACAACTGTTTCATTATAAAACAAAATTATAGCTCCACCCTATCACCTTAGATAGAATCTACTTAACTGCCATAAAGGATAGCATGAAAAATAAATCCAAGTGTGTCCAAAGTTCTATCTAAATATATTGCACCAAGAACCAGATTCCTCGCTGGGTACTGTAACGTTGTAATAGATATATGCATAATACATATCCAGAATGTTTCGGCACTACATTATATACTTATCACAGTCCTCTAACTCTAAAATTTTGTAGCTTCCCAGTATACATGCAAAAATACACAAAATATGGGGGGAGGATGGGATGTTGAAAAAATATCAATTTAAATAGGCAGAAATACATATACCTTATACCACTTCATATTTTTTTTAGCACATATAACCTAAATTTAATTTGAGGTTGCAAAAAATCAAGCATAAACAGAATGACAAGGTTCTTTCGATTCATCTTCTAATGGACACATTCACTTCTGGAGGAGGCAATAGATGTATTGTTTACTTTGTTCTCCTTTTTCATAACTAGGAATCGAAATTCACCTATAATTATTGATGGCATATGATGCACGAGAGAACTGGCTTTTATCAGTTGATATCCAAGATATTTCTACCAGGGATTTGCAAGAGCAATCTCGATCCTCTCCAATACCACGTCCGGGAAGTATAACATTTGTGGATGACCTTGACAATAAAGGTGATCTGTTTTTTCCAGAAGCTACAGATTTTGCACTGCAGAGCCAGAAATATACCGCAACCATACATCTAACCATCTCTTCAGACAACTTGCTGGGGCACTGGTAGAGATGATCCTTCAGAGTTCGTAGCACAGGAGTTTTCTCTGTGGCTGGTACTTTCTCATGAGCCTAAAAATAATAGCAATAAAAAGGTTTAGAGTTTAGACAACACATGGCATGACTTGAAAAAATAGTAACCTTAAGAGAAATTTTATAATACACAAAAAGTAACTACTGACATCTACAATAGTTACTCCATGCACTCATTTGAAAGAGAGAGAGAGACACATACAAAAAAAAAAAAAGGAGAAATGAGAAAGAGAAAATAAAAAAAATAAAACTAACATGAGAATCTTCTTATCACTTTCGGTGAGCTCAAATGTAATTTTATGTGTCTATCTCTCTCTTTCAAGTGGATTCTTGAAGTAATTATTATATATGCTAATAATTACTTCTTGTGTATTATAAAATTTCTCCTAAGCTGAGTATCCGAAGCACCAGAAATTTTTACAGCATATGCACAAAAAGCAAATGAACCTTTTATTTTATTTTTGTGATTGTGAAACATCACATGGCATAGATCAAAGACCAGTAATCAGAAGTGCCAAAAATTACATAATTAAGAAAGGGAAAGTTTTGACAGAATGATCTGTACAAATCAAATGTTCAAATTGTGCTCCTCATAATATTGACGAGCCACTCGTTTTACAAAGATCATTTTTTTTTTTTTTTTTTGCCGGGGGGAAGGATTTGAATAACTATATATATATACTTTCCACGTACATATCTTACCTTAACCTGGTCGGAACAGTTCTTCTCAGAACGAATGTCACTTTTACGATGGAATAATGGAGCATCACTAGCTTTGGAGGTCCTTTTCTCTGAGTCAGTGACTGAAACCAGAGCTTGCAAAGGTCGTAAAGGGAACTTTATCGAAGAGCAGAAAGCACTTGAGATAACACTTGGGTGTTTCCTGGAAGCATGCTTCATATGTGCAGGAGACGTCATGCCTGAGTTTTGCTGAGAAGGTGCCCGACTAACACAACTTTCAAAAATATTCCTGTAGAGGGAGAGCATTTGCTGCTCACGGTTTGCAACCTCTTCTTCTAGTAACTCAATCTCTGCAATCAACTCTTTTGTCTGGCACTAACCAATAATTTGCAGGTCATTTCAAACGTGTGAGTTTAATTAGAGGAACATGAAGCAAAATGCACATAGATCTAACCAACTTTGACACTGTATGCAGTGGATATTCAATGTATTGGAGAACAATGCATATGCTCACTAGAACAAAGCCTCAGCATGAGCAAATCAGAGCAATTCAAACAATTAAACTATAACATATCCTGAAGACTGGACTTCAAATGTATGACAGGTTTAGCTATGGTTGGATAGAAATCTTCTTCACGCCTTGGCATAGCTTCGTATTGTTTTTGCATCCATATGTTCATTAAGATAAGAACGAACCGTCTGTCTTAGATATTAGTTGCTTCAAATTCGATTGAGCTGGAAATTCAACCTCTCAAAGATAAAGTTACCTGAGTAGCAAAATGCCTATGACCAGGAGATAAAGTACTAGAAACTCTGCCCATTGCTCTCTCGAGCACCATGCCCATAGATTTCTCCTGCTGCAATTGTAATTGCAGCTGCTCAATCTGCAAGTCAGTTTTGTGGATAAAGCCAGAGTCAAACCTACATATAGATGTAAAGAAACAGGCATCTAATTCCAGAGCTTACATCTTTTTCCAAGGAGGCTCGGTGGTTAGATGAAGCATTTTTGCTGATACAATTGGGGTAATCATGGAGAGGACTTTGTGCTCTACGAGCTCTGGTTGAAAGTGGCGGCATCTGTTATATTCAGGGAAAAAGCTGGTGGTAAGCTATGTCATTGTGTTTTCACTAAAATACATGGCTCTAAGCTCTGATCATCTAATAATTTTAATCTTTCCATCGCTTGCAAGTATAAACCGTAACATGAGACTAAAACAAATTAAAAGTGGGAAAACTTTCAGTGATCTCACATGAATTTCATTCTGGTCTTTCTTTAAGGAATGCAAAACTCGACCCCTTGAAATGCCCAAGTTCCTTTCAGATGCACTGAAATGAAATGCCAGCAGGTAAAAAATATGAATAAGATAATTGCTTTCAATATTTTGGCCATATAAAATCATAACCGCAACGATTGCAGAAATCATTTTGGCGCGAAACTATCTATAATTCATAGGATCATAATCATACCCCTATGTCTTTCACTTCAAAACCAATGAAAGTTCAAAGGAAAACCAGAAACTGGAAAATCAAGTCAACGCAACCTATCTTGATGTTGCCATCATATCATTTCCTTTCCAGTAACTGAAAACACTGATTCTTTCAGTTACCTTCTTAGTGTTTATTGCTTGGCGTACACAGTTAGCCTTACCCTTGCAAAACCTTCATAGTAATTAGCTCTAGTGAACTCAATTACTCCTAGTCCCTACAACAAGAGAATATGTTTCCTTTTCCATTTCTACTCAATTCTTTAGATCCCAAAATTTTCATCCCCTCTATGAAATTGAACTTAAAATCTTCTTATTCGTATCAAAAACGAACACCAAAATTCAAAAGATTATATCCTCCCACAAATTAGGAAAAAAAAAACACCAAGAACCTAAAGACAAGATCTTACTATATACTAGACAACTTTTAGTTAGCTTGTCATAGACAACAATAACTAATCACAACACAAAACAAGAGCAAGAATAGCCAACAATTTTCATAAACCATGCCTTTTAGAGCGCCTGTGCTGTACATGACTGTGCGGATGTTGCCAAGAACTTCCATTTTCTCTATTTTTAGTTCTTTCTCCATCCCCATCCACATTCAAACCATCCATTTCACTATTCTTCATTAACACACCACAAAATAGATATTAACATGTAACAATATTATAACTCAAAAAGGGAAACAAGAATTTTGAACGGCATTTAAGATGGGTATGCTATGATTGTATAAAGATGCAAATTTGAATGCTACAGCAATGTTGTAAAGGGGCAAAAAAGAGAGAGAGAGAGAGAGAGAGAGAGAGCATGTGGAAAGTAAATAATAATGCTCAAACAGTTACCACCACAAACAATTTGGGACCATGAATATAGTTTCTGCTACATAATTCAATTCAATCACTTTCTAGTTGTTGGGTGCATTTAATATATGACTCTGTATTTATTTCACCTGATCATCTCTTTCTCTCACTGACTACAGAGAGGAGAGGGCCGTTGGGACTTGGGAGTGGTCTGAAAAGGAGTACGTAGTAGATTTTTTTGAAATGGAACATTACAAGAAGCAGTTGGTGGTGCCCTTGTGTGGCTTTTTCCCACGTCTGTTTGGTTTACTGTGTGTAAGCCTGTGAGGTGATGCAGATTGCTGGCAGTCTTCTGGTCTGGTCTGGTCTAGTCTAGGATATAAAATTATAGGAGTAAATAGCAAGAAGCCAGGAAAGGAAATCCAAAGCATGCTTGAAGCACAGCAAACTATGATGCGTGAAAGGGCAAAAGACCTGAAAGAAAAAAAAAGAAAAAAAGTTAAACAGCATCCTGCATTCATTGTGGAGAAATATCAATTTGATAGAACTGTAGAAGTGCCACGCCTCTTTGATTTGTGTGAAAAAAAAAAAAAAAAAAAAAAAGAAAGGGAGCTTCCAAAAACAATAGATTGGATGTTTAGGAGAGGATTTAGTACTGGCTTAAGCGGTATGATCCGAAGTTGCTTCCATAGTATTTGACTAGCCTATGCCGAGTTTTGGTTCTGACAGGAGTGTAGTGTAGTCTCTTGATATGTGTCTATGTAAGAATTTATGTTTACTGACTCCTGAGTGAATACTCAATCGATTACCTATCAGTACAATATTTTTTCTTGTATGAAAAATAAAATAATCAATTAAGCTATTTCCAAAAATATTTTACTATGTTTAAAAAATTCTAAACCTATTTGGCAAAACATTATATGTACATACATTATCCAAGCAATTGTAGAATTGTCGGAATAAACAATGCGGAAGGAGTCTTGTTGTAAAAAAGATTTAATATTAATTGACCTACAAATTGATTAAAAATTAAAAGAAAAAAAATCATTATATTTAGGCACGACATTTTCTTTATTCTTATTGTCGAAAATTTTTCCAACACTATTATGGAACCGACAATTGTCCACATATTTTTCGTTTATAGTTTAGCATTAGTAGGTGTCGAGAAATTTTATAATACTAAGTAGTAATTAGTGACATGTATAGTAGTTATTGTATGGATTTACTTTGAGGAGAAGATTTTCTAAGTTTGCTCAATTTTTTTTTAAATTTTCTCTCTCTTTTTTATGTGTTTATCTCTTTTCTCAAAATGGATTCATGAAGTAACTATTATACATACCACTAGTTACTTCTTGAGTATTATAAAATTTCTCAATGGGTCCTGTATGATTAATTGAACCAACATATCCCGAAGTTTAAATAAAAGATGTATAATTGTTAGATAATACTAGAAATGCTTAATTTTTGAATTGACATTGTTTCGCTAAACAACATGATAATACATGATTGGTGATTTTGTTAGTTAATAAATTTTATAGTTATCGATGAATATCTAAAAATGATAAGATTTACATTTTGAAAACATTTCTATTTAATAAATACGACGTCATTTAGTAGAAAAGAAATTATAAAAATTTTAAGTATCTCTAGCACTATGGCATTACGAGTTTATAATTTGAATTATTAATTTTCATTTAAATGTTTGATTATATATATATATATATATATATATACAATCCAATAACAAATAGAATACAATAAATATACCTAGATAATATTCAACGGGACGCGAGCACCCGATAGAATCTTTAAGTTTTAATCTTAGTGGACATTTTTGAGTTTATTGCCAATTTTTATACACTAAAATTTTTCATTCATTTTAAATTCAACAATTTAGAAATAAAGATGATAAAATATTGGATTTGAATTCTCTCGTGTTTTCAATAAAACATGATAATTTATTATTTTTCAGATCTCAACATTAATTTTGAACTCAACATTTAAATTAAATAAGAAAAAAATAATTAAGTTATTATCCTTTTTATTGTAGACTAATATCAAGCCATTCATTCTGAATTTAATAATTTAGAATCAATTAATGAACATTACAAGACATGATCAGAAAAAAGAAAAGTAATAAAGTTATTGTAATTTTTATCCTACACTAAAATCATATTCTTTTACTTAAAAAACACGAGAAAACATTGAATTTGAATTTTTTTTTTTTATTGTATCTTTTTGTATCGCCAAGAGTGAGAGAACATGATATATCATATTTCAAATTTCATTATTGATTTTATATTTAATGATTTAGAAGGAGAGAAAAGAATAATAATAGTTCATATTTACCAAAAATATAATTGTTAATGGTCTCTTCCTTTTCTTTTTATATGTGAATATCGGTATATTCTTGATCCTGGGAGTTTGATGGGGGAAGACATATATTAAGCATATAGGACTTCTTCGAATTCTTTCTTTAAGAAATCCAAATAAATGCCAATACTTTAACCAATACTTATGTCATATTCATCCATTTAATAATAGTTTTTAATTATCTTGAGTGTGTTATGGCTCAAAATTTTATTTAAAATTGGATGATGAAAAAATTGCTACTGCATAAGTAGCTAGTTGGTGTGATAGTGGTTTTGTCTCTATTAAGTTTATATGTAAAAATTAAAAGAGAGAGAGAGAGTGGTTTTGGTCTCTTGTAATACTTTCCACCACATAATAAATGTCACCGCAATATAATTTAGGATATGTTTGATAGATCGACAGATAGAGAAAGTAAAAAATAACCCTCGTGATTTTTCACATCTTTTACCCGTGTTTAGTGCAAGTTAGGGGAAGGGGAAAAGTTCATTAAGGTTAACATTTAACCTCCAATTTTGAGGTTAAAGTAGAGTTTGGTGTAAAGTTAAAAAAAACAAACATGAATGAGTAACTATTAAAAGAGTAATTTTTAATTGTGTAAAAATTGATTTTTAATGTTATTTGTTGTTTTTATAAATTAAAGATAAAACATTAGTGGAAACAGAAAGAACATAGTTAAATTATTAGTAATAATTAGTGACAAATGATTAAAAATTAATTTAGTGTGTATTTTGAAGAGAGAGAGAAAGAGAGTTAATACTGCATGGAGGATAATGTCCCCCTCTCCCTCCCTCCCCCCGGCGGCGCCGGGGCGGAAATAAGTACCCTCTAATAATCAAACCCCTCGAAGAATAAATAAATAAATAAGTAGAGCTTAAATTTTACGAGGATGATATTAAACCTTAGGGTGTGGTTGGTAACAATAAATGAGGCAGTAGAAATGAGAATGATAATCTTATTTCTATTTTGTGAATGTTTGCATGAAGTCAAAATGAAAACAAAGGGTATGAATAGAAATAAAAATTAAACATAATTTCATTCGAGAAATGTGAGAATAAAAATAAATAATGATAATTAGTTTTTTTTTAAATAATGATATAATATTTAGATAAATAACTTAATCTGTCTTTATATAATACTCCGAATCTTTCGTATGTTTCTAAGTTTCTAATTACTTTTCATATAATTTAAAAAAAAATTTAAATGTTCAATTTAACTTTCTAAATAATTTGTCCAACCGTGAGAAATTTTTTGACCAAAATATTCTTAAGTAAAATGCAATATATATATATATATATATATATATCTCAAACACTTAAAAAAATAGAACATGGAAGTCATGTTACTTTAAGTTATTTTTTTTCATTTTAGTAAAGGTCACTCGATCAAAAAAAATTATTTACTTGTCGAAAAAATTGAT